CTTGCCGGTGTCCGTCCCCCCCCCGCCCCTCCTCCCCCGCGGCAGCCCAACTGAGTGCGCAACACTCAACCGAACCACCACAAAGGGAGGGTTAGGAGGCAGGGCAGTGATGTACACGGCCAGGGGGCGGGGTCATCTACTTCACTGCCCCCCTTCCCCTCCCACTGTGGCACTCAGCTGAGTGCTGCGTCCCTCAGCCGGGCCGCCGGGGGAGTCGGGGGATTTTGGGGGAAGTTTTATACCAAAGGCAGGTAGATAAGGCTTTGAGGTACACTTGCTGGCCCCCAGTTCTGCATTTATCGTGCCAGAGTGGGGAAGGAGCCATGACAGGGTCATCTACTTCACTGCCCCCCTTCCCCTCCCACTGTGGCACTCAGCTGAGTGCTGCGTCCCTCAGCCGGGCCGCCGGGGGAGTCGGGGGATTTTGGGGGAAGTTTTATACCAAAGGCAGGTAGATAAGGCTTTGAGGTACACTTGCTGGCCCCCAGTTCTGCATTTATCGTGCCAGAGTGGGGAAGGAGCCATGACAGGGCTCTTATGCATTTCAAAGAGGAAGCCCCTGCATAGAGCCTGGGGCCAGCGTGGGACTCCAAGTCCCCTGCTAACTGCAGGGAAGCGCCAGCTTGGAGCCCGGAGTCAGCGGGACTCTGCGCTGGCTCTGGGCACCACACGGCGTTCCAACTTTGAAATGCACAAGAGCCCCCGCTGAGGTTCTTGTACATTTCAAAGGTGAAATGCAAAAGTGCTTATCAACTAGTCAAGTAGTCGATGGAAATTCCATTGACTACTTGACTAGCAAATTAATCCCTACTTAACATCCCTATTGTGTTCATCCCTTTGGGGTATCAGGCATTGGCAACTGTCAGCAGACAGGATACTGGGCTAGATGGACCTTTGGCCTGACCTAGTATGGTTGTTCTCATGTACTTATAAGGGAGCTGTCCCATTTAGTTCTTCCCTGGGGTTCCAGCCTTGAGTCAGGGAGAGAGGCTGGGATCAGGCTGGTGTGATTATTTGAGGGGGCTTGTTCAAATGGGGCACTGTGTTCTCGGCCGCCAGCAGCCACTGAGCAGGCCCAGGACTCCGATTCTGCCTTTGTAGGGATGCACAGGCTGCCCCCATAACAACACAAAGAGCTCCTGGACTGATGTGGGAGGGAAGGTCGCCTGGGGTGCAATCACTACAGGCACCTGATGAAGCCTCCTCCTCGTCTCCTGTGGGCTGGGGGCCCAGCTCGGTGTGGAGGTTGCAGCTGCCATGTACTGTCTGCAGCTCCAAGATAGGCCACAGATAGGACATGCTGCCCAAGTTAGCAGGGTCAATAATAAAGCACAGGACCATGTGCAGGGGAACTGACTGCATGTGCCTCGTGCTGGGGCAGCCTGGGATCTCATCCCAGTTTCAGGAGAAGAGTAATACCTAATGGTGTGAGCATGTGGTTGGGATTCAGGGAAAGGAGCCCAGAGCCACTGGGTTCAGTCCTGGAAGGCAGGTCAGGCCCCAGTTTTCCTCTGCCGGGGCAGGGGGAACCAATTCCGTGAAGGCCATGTGCAGAGCCAGGTTCAGGCCAGAAGGGGACCAAGAGGTCAGGAGAGCTAGAGCAAGAAGCTTCCCCGCACCCATGTGACTGGGGGAGCTGACAACACAGGGAGTGTCCCACTTAAAGAAATGTGCTGAGTTAGTCACAGGCGCAGCATTTTCCTTGGGTCACGGGCAGAGAAGTGGAACGGAAGCAGCTTGCGCAAGGGGCAGGATGGGCTCAGAGCCAGTGAACACTTGGGCTGTATTCCTGGCAATGATGCGTGACCGTTGGCAGGTCCGTGCCACTCTGTGACTCAGTTTTCCCATCTGTAAAATGGGGGCTAAAGGGCCTGAGCCTCTTTGAAATAGGAGGTCTCCATGCTTGATAGCACTAATTCCTACTGCAGCTGTTCCAGCTCATGTCAGATCTGCCGTTTGCCTGGCATGGCGATGCCAGCTTCTGAGATGGGCTGCCTGGGAACAGGAAGCTCTGAGAGGGGGAAGAAGGAGAGCAACTTTTCTGGCCTGGTGGGGGCATTTTTAAGCATTTTGTTTCAGGCTGAGGAGAGAAAACTCAGAGCAAAATGTCACTTTGCTCATGCGATGAATATGTATAGAGAGTCGCATGTGTGTGTGGAGAGACAGAGAGAGGAGAGAGTATGTGTGTGTGGTGAGAGAACATCCTGGTGTGAAGAGGTGTGGAGAACGCTGATCACAGGAAGCTCTGAGAGGGGGAAGAAGGAGAGCAACTTTTCTGGCCTGGTGGGGGCATTTTTAAGCATTTTGTTTCAGGCTGAGGAGAGAAAACTCAGAGCAAAATGTCACTTTGCTCATGCGATGAATATGTATAGAGAGTCGCATGTGTGTGTGGAGAGACAGAGAGAGGAGAGAGTATGTGTGTGTGGTGAGAGAACATCCTGGTGTGAAGAGGTGTGGAGAACGCTGATCCCTTCTGGATGGGATATGTCAGAACGGGTTTTGCGCGTGTGTGTGTAACACGGCCCTCGTGTGGACAGGCCTTGGGAGCCTGCTCTGGAGCTCATGGGGCTGTGAAACCCCTGGTCCCAATCCCCACTTGGCAGTACACTCACCTGGCCACAGATCTCCCCTTTCTACCAGCCCTACTGCCCCTTCTTGCTCGGGATCTTTACGATGTCGCCTTCCTTCAGTGTCAGCTCTGTCCGGTCCCGTGCGCAGAAATTGTACTTCAGCCCTCCTGCTGCGAGGGGAAAGGCCCACACCAAGCACAGCTGGCCTGGGACCGGACACCCACGAATTAACATCCACCCTCTGGTGGGACTCTGAAAGGTGAGTGACCCCCGGAAGTCCTCATCATCCCCCACATGGTGGGAGACAGTGACCGCAAGGTGAAGGATTGGCTCTCCCCACCTGGCATTCCATGGGCTTGGGCCACAAAGGGTTAACTGCCAGTGCCTACCAGGGTGGAATCCACACACCAGCTGGGACCAGGGTGGAGGGAACCGCAGCTGGAGGCTACGGCTGCATGTTCCCCCATACGGCGACATCTCCCATCAGCACCAAAGATGCAGCCCAGAATATCCCCACCCTCCTTCTTTCCAGTGGAGCCTTTGCCAGATCCAGCACAGAGCAGAGGTCACACTGGGATGCTGGGTTTTAAAAGGCTCCTTCAGCCTGGCTGCAGCCCTGACCACCCGGTGCTGCCACAGCCCTTTATGGGCACATTTGACCCGGATGAATGACTCCAGCTGGGAAAGGAGAAGTGGCCTCACAACAGTTTTCCTGGATTTGTCCAAATATTTCCATTTTTGTTGAAAACCCCAATTTTGGGGTATCCCCCCAACACTGAACCATGAACATTTGACAAAAACTAGAACAGGGGCCAAACTTGGGGTTGAAAAGCCACCGTCCCTTAAGAAAAATATTTTGGGGGAAATTTCCATGCTGCACATGCTCAGTCATTCCAAACCCCCCAGGGGCTCTCGAACCCTCTGAGCACCCTACCAGGAGTTCTGAGGATAGTCCTATGCTTGGGCTCTTAAAACGGGAGCTGCAGCGTGGTGTTGAGGGTTTTGAAGCAGGCTTTCGGGGAGTTCTGCTGGTAAAACGCCACCATCTCCTAGGCAGGAAGGACAGAGAGGCCCTGAGGGTGTGGAGCTCTTCTGCCCTGGAGTGAAGATGGATGGGAAACCTGCCCCATCGTGGAACATAATGGCTCAAAGGGGCATTGCCCAGTGTGGAGAAGGGGGCTGAGGTTCCTACAGCTCACTCCTGTGCCTTTATTTGAACCCCAGAGACAGTAACTACCAGACCCCTCTCCCCCAGCTCCCCCGCCCCTCCAACCAGAAATGGAACCCAGGAGTCCTGACTCCCAGCCACCACCTCCTCTAAGCCCACCCCCCCTTTCAGAGCTGGAAACAGAGCCCAAGTCCTGGCTCCCAGCCCATCCTGCTCTAGCCACTACACCACACTGTCTTGCTGTGGTCTAAGTAGCCAGTCTTATGTTAGGGGGGAGTGGTGGGAAATCCTCCAGTGAAGCTGAAGTTGAGTCAGTGGGTGAGAGATTGGCACAATCCTTACTTCGAGTCCTTTGAATGCCTTCTTCTCCATAATGTGTTACAAGCTCTCTGACCTTAGGATCTTGATGTGTTTGATTTCTACGCTGTATTATGTTCCCCCTCCGGCAGTGGGTCTAGTGATGTAGTTATGGGGTGGTGGGAATCAGAGGGAACAAACATGCAGGAAGTGACATGCAGTCAGTGTGTCACCATAAAGGCACATGGAGCATTAGGTGGATGGCTGCGGAGATCCCTACCTCCCACCAGTGCTGCTCCACTTTGGCTTTGGTCAGCTCCACAATGTCCATTGGGCTGAGTTGCCGTGACGGGCCAAATGCAATGGCTGGCGGCATAGCGCATAATGCATAGGGCTGGCAGACCTCATCTTGGGCAGCCCTAAGGAGAGAAGGACATTGCTGAGGAGCTGGTAACTGGGAAACCCTGTGGACCTCCCTACAGCCAACATCTGCCACGTGGCAGCATCTGCGCCCAATGCTCCTCCCACCTGCTACGTGCACAAACATGGACTGACATGTCTTCTCCGCGCTGGGGTCAGTGTATCTTCCCTGTGCTCTATGGGGAGTGGGATGGAGGGACATCCCAACGCAGGGCCCCTATGCTTCTGCATGGAGGACACTATGTTAAGGTTATTGTCTCCAGAATTCTTGAGCTCTCATGAGCCAGTGGGACTTTCCTACAGGTGCTCCAAAGTTGGAAATCCCAACACAGCACAGATCAGGGATCCATCCAGTGCAGCGTCCAGCCAGTGGGAATGGTAGCTCAGTTACCACATTCTCCTCTATTCAACTGGACTGCATCTCCCATGATGCACCACAGCTTTGAGGGATGAGGCTATAGTATTCCAGTCCCCTAGAGTACAGTACAGACGCCCTAGCAGAACTTACAGGGAGATTCTTCATTGAGACTGAGCAGACCCATGGCTCCTTGCAGGCTGCAGTGCCTGGTATCACCAGTAGGGGTCACCATCACACCTGGCTTAGTCAGGAGTGGGGAGTACAAGTAAGGAAATTCTTTCCTAGCCCCTCTGCTATGGGTATAAAACAATTATTCCAGAATAGTTAGCTCAGACAACATCTATGTGTAGACACTACCTATTTATAATAATTAAGTAAGGATTCCGGAATAGCTACCTGGGTCCATTTCCACATCTCCACAAGCCCTCGAGTCATTGAGATGTTTTCAAATCAATTTTTTTTTCAGAATTTCCAGTCTGTGGGAAATTTCAGCCTCACTTAGACTCCCTCATGATCATCCCAAAAGTTGTCAGGGCTCAGGAGATGCCAAGCCAGCCCCACCCACATGGCATCCAGTGCCAGCCGCAAGTTCTCCTTCTCTGTTGGCTCCGGGGTGTATTTTACCAGCTCATAAAGAGGAAATAAGTCAGGATGGATTGTATGAAGTTAAAGGCATTTCTGGATCCTCCAGCCAGTGGTACCAGGGTTCCTCAACTCCCCAAAGTGAAGCTTCAAGGGACAGAGCTAGAACCCCAAAATATTGGGATGTGTCATCCTGAGTAACAGAGGAAACCAAGGCTGTTGTGGCCTGCACGGAACTATGAGGATGATCTTCGCTTTGTCCCTCCTTATCATTATGATGACCCTGTTCAGGAGAGGAAATGGAGGGAATGCTTATAATAGGGGTGCGTTCCATGAGAGAGTAAAAGCGTCTCCTAGGGAGTGTTTGCCCATGTCCGCTCTGGAACAATACATCGTGCATTTTCTGTTGGAGCTGGAGGAAAACAGATCTATGAAAGGGTGGCCCAATTGGCTGAATATTTCTCGTAAGATTATATGGTCCATCTCCCAGTCGTGTTCCTGGCGGAGGTCTCTGCTTAGGACATCTGCTGTTGTATTGAGAGCCCCAGGTATATGGCATGCAGATAATTAGGTATCCCGTGCTATTGCCCAGTTCCAAAGGACTATGGCTTCTCTGCACAGGGGCTGTGACCATGCTCTGCCTTATCGGTTTACATAAAACATGCATGCCGTGTTGTCCATGAAGACACAGATGTGTATCCCTTTCACCTGAGGGAGTAGCTTTTGACATGCTAGGCAGATGACTCTAAGTTCTAAGATATTTATATGCAGAACACGTTCTGCGGAGGACCAGTCCTTGAACTGTTCTCTCTTCTATGTGAGCGCCCCAGCCTGTGAGTGAGGCATCCATGGTGATGACCACTGTGGGCTCTGTGGATTGGAAGGGCATGCATGTAGTTAGGTTGGACACCTCTGTCCACCATTTTAATGAAGCTTTGACTGATGGAGACATAGTTAGCCTCTTTGTCAGTGAATTAATGTTTGCTTTGTACTGCGTTAGAAGCCAGCCTTGGAGACATCTCACAAATAGCCTTGCATTGGGTACCACAGGGTTGCAGGAAGCCATATGGCCTAAAAGTCGGAGGCAATAGAGTGTGGTGACTGTAGACATGTCTTGTAGGGATAATGCCAAGTGCCTGATGTGAGTAGCTCTGTCGGGAGGGAGGAAGGGAGGCTTTGGCTGTTACAGAGTTGGAGAGAGTCCAGCAGAGGGCAACCAAAATGATTAGGGGGCTGGAGCATATGACCTATGAGGAGAGGCTGATGGAGTTGGGTCTGTTTAGTCTGCAGAAGCAAAGAGTGAGGGGGGATTTGATAGCAGCCTTCAACTTCCTGAAGGGAGGATCCAAAGAGGATGGAGAGAGGCTGGTCTCAGTAGTGACAGAGGGAAGAACGAGGAGCAATGGTCTCAAGTTGTGGTGGGAGAGGTCTAGGTTGGATATTAGGAAAAACTATTTCACTAGGAGGGTAGTGAAGCACTGGAATGGGTTACCTAGGGAAGTAGTGGAGTCTCCTTCCCTAGAGGAGTTTAAGTCTCGGCTGGTCAAGGCCCTGGCCAGGTTGATTTAGTTGGGATTGGTCCTGCCTAGAGCAGGGGGCTGGACTTGATGACCTCCTGAAGTCTCTTCCAGCTCTATTGTTCTATGATTCTATGAGCTGAGGTGTGTCCCAATAACTTGGATGGTCTGCAAGGGAGTAAGCATTGATTTGGGGTGGTTCACTAGAAGCCTTAGAGAGTGGAAATAGTCTAGGCACTATGTGAGTATGCCAGCGGCTCTCCTGTCTGGACCTTGCTTTTACTAGGCAGTCGTCCAGGTAGGGATATATAATAATCCCTTGTCTCCTAAGGTGGGCAGTGACTGCCGCTAGGATCTTGGAAAAAACTCTCAGAGCTGTAGAGAGTCCGAAGGGCAGGACCATGTACTGAAAATGGTGTGAACCTAAAGTAAAATGGAGAAAATGTCTATGAAATGGTCTGATAGGAACATGAAAATAGGCATCTTGTAAGTCGAGAGAGGAAAACCAATCACCCACCTCCAGAGCTGGGATGATTGTATTAAGTGTAACCATCTTAAACTTCTGCTTCTTTATGAAGCTATTTAGGTATCTGAAATCCAGGATAGGTCTCCACCAGCCAGACTTCTTTTCAATGAGAAAATAGTGGGACTAGAACCATGTTCTGTGGAATTGGGAAGAAACAGGTTCCATGGCGCCTATGTGTAACAGGTGATCTATCTCTTGTCATAAGATGATCTCGTGAGATGGGTCCCTAAAGATGGGAGGGGAGAAGGGAAAGAAAGGGGATGGTATATCCCAGGGAGATAGTTTTAAGTATCCATTTATCTGAGGTAATTAATTCCCATTGATGAAGGAAGGGAAGTAAACAAAACTGATCTAGAGACAATTTTCTCTTCCCAGATCTCCTTGCCCATTTTTGCAGGGCCATGTGCTCAGAGGCAGGGCACCGGCCCCTACCCCGTAACCAATGGGAGCAGAGGCTGCTCAGCTGTCTCTCAGCACGTCTCCGCCATGGGTCTCCATCCACATGGACCCACTGGTGCACCTGGTGCACCTTGTCGCCCAGATTTCCTGTGTCCATCACAAGATTTAGTTCATTCCTTATGCCCCCTTCTCAGCCCTGTACTTGCCCCAGTCCAGTGTGTCAGAGCAGGGCAAAGCCTCGGTCCCAGCCCGGCTAACGTCAAAATTGCAGTTGTTTCAGGGGAGTCGATGGAGCAGCAGCACCAGGGCCCTAGCCCCAGTGACTCTGTGCCCATCACCCTGGATGAAGATCCAGCCCTCCACGAGGCACCCTGGTATATGTTGAGCACAGGGCAATGAGCAGAAAAGGGCTTTGATGCCCAGCCATGGGCATCCCTGAGAGCAAAGGTTGCACTGAGTCGGCCATGGTCCCAGGGGTGCTGGCTCTCACCAGGTCCAGGAGGGCACCGGACACAGAGCCAGGCCGAGGTGCTGGTGTGCGCCGGGAGTCCCCCATGACTGTCTGGGGGCAGGAGAGACCCTGTTGGGAGAACACCTTCGGGCTTCCCCCTGGCTCTCACGTGAGTAGTCCAGAGGGGCGACAATGCTGGGGTGCCAGGAGTCTCCCTAGAAGAGTTGTAGCCAGATACACAGAGGCAGGAAAAATTTCTGGCAGTATCGAAGCATACGGCGCTTGGGCCGCAGGGCAGGGCTTGCAACTGGCATTCATTTTTATCTAGACAGGAGCATACAGAACCGGAGTCTTTCAGTGGCCCAGGAAAGTGCTTTTGTTACCCCTGGTGGGTGGGAATCAGGATGCAGCCCCCCATGCTGTGAGTACAGTCAACACCAGTGTTCCTAGACGTACATCCAGAGGTTTAGTCCCACTGAAATGCGTATTGTTTGATTCTGTCCCAAAGGATCTAGATCTCTGTGGCGGGTTTTAAGGGTGCGAGCTCCGCACCCCCAAATCCCCCGGGCTGAGCCAGCGGGGTGGGGTGGGGCTCCGCGAACCCACCGCCTTCCGAACGCCCTCC